TTAAGTCCCAGCCAGACAGTGAAGAACTTGAAAAAATTGTACAATACTGTGTTACTGGGCAACAAAAGGGCAGATACAATTGAATGGGAATAAATGCCAAGGAAAACATAATCCCAACAATACACATAGAATGACGAGCTCTAAAATACTTGTTACCACTGAAGGAGCAGATCTTTTCAGACTACTGAGATGTAAATTGTGGTGTCCCTCAGGAGTCTGTACTGGGACTAATCCTGTTCAACATATTCATAAGTGATCTGGTAAAATAGGGAGGTGGCAAAATTTGCAGATGATATGACAGGATTCAAGATAGTTAAGTCCCAGCCAGACAGTGAAGAACTTGAAAAAATTGTACAATACTGTGTTACTGGGCAACAAAAGGGCAGATACAATTGAATGGGAATAAATGCCAAGGAAAACATAATCCCAACAATACACATAGAATGACGAGCTCTAAAATACTTGTTACCACTGAAGGAGCAGATCTTGGAATCATAGTTTTCTAAAAACATCCCCTCAATGTGCAGTGACAGTCAAGAAAAGTGAAGAGACTTTTTGAAATCATTAAAAAAAGAACAGATCATAAGGAAAAATACCATGGTGCCTCTATAGAAATGTATAGTACGCCCACATCTTGAATACTGCGTGTACATCCTGACTACCGGATGTTAATGTGGTCACCCAAAAATGCATACTAGAAGTGGAAAAGGTACAGAAAAGGGCAACAAAGATTATAAGAGGTATGGATGGGTTCCATATGAGTAGAGATCAATAAGTCCGGGACTTTTCTTCTTGGAAAAGAGAGACCAAGGGAGGAGACGATAGATGTCTACAAAATCATCCCTGGTGTGGAGAAGGAAATACTGCTGCTCCTGCCAGCCACCTCTCTGGCCACCTGCTGGCCACCTGCTCCTCTCAGACACCCCAGCAGACACCTACCAACTGCTTGCTCCTACCAGTCATCTGCCTGCTGCCACTGGCCTTGTGATGGGTTTGAATCTGGGCCAAACCTAGTGATTCCAGCTCTTTGTGATCCCAGCTACTCAGTAATTTCAGCTCTTGGCCCACAGCGCAGGCCGACAGAAAATAAAGAGACCCCTTATGGAGTCTGATTTTGTTCTATCATTAGAACGGGATTGCGGGGGAGGGAGGTGTGGTGGAAAATAAGAGAAACAGGTTGAACCAGTCATACAGCTCATTCCTGAAGGGCGTGTAGCCTCTGGTTCAGAGCTCTGCTCCCCTGCATCTCCACCCACCCATTCACTTCACTTGAGTCTGGAAGGGAAAGGCTTGTCCATCTGAGATTCTTTACAATGAAAGCATAAGCACTGGTGGTCATATTTTACAATTCCTACATTTAGGGTTAACATGGTTTGCGACCCCACAACAGCCAAATTAGTTATAATAGGTAAAATACCATTCTAACAATTAACCGTCCAACTGGCCTAGAGCACTGACTAAACTGTATTTACATAACCACACCCAGGATTTCTTACCCATTCCAGCTTGAACTGTATTTACATAACAACAGTTGAATACCTGGCAGAGCAAAACAAGTCTGAGTGAGCATAACCACATCCAGGATTCCTTTCCCCTTCCAACTGGCTGCATTGGAAGCCGTGATTCAGACCCTGCTTACACCTGTTAGACTAAGAATATTTGCAGAGCAAACCTCCACAGGGTGGCAGTAAAGGCATCTCCGTGACTTCAGGAAAATTCCCCTGACAAAATGTCATGTGTCACCTGCAAACCACAGAGGCGCTAGAGAGGAAAAGAACGGGAACTACATTTCTCTTGGAACGTGAGGCTTGGCATTAGTACAGGCTAAAAGATATCCCTCTGTACCATTGATTGTTTTCATGTGTAGCTTACTTGTAAGATCCTAAAACACCAGGAAGACAACAGCAAAGTTGAAGGAAAGAGTCTTCATGACTCAAGATGGATCATAGAATCATAAAAGCGGCAAGGAGTCCTGTGGCACCTTAAATACTAACTGAAGTATTGGAGCATATGCTTTCGTGGGCAAAGACCCACTTCGTCAATTGCATGTAGTGGAAATTTCCACGGGCAAGTATAAATATGGAGGACAGAAACAGGTTAGAGATAACAAGGTGAATCCAATCAAGGAGGATGAGGCCCACTTGTAGTAGCTTATCTGGAGGTATGTAGCTGATCATAGAATCATAGAACACTAGAATTGGAAGGGACCTCGAGGGGTCTTCGAGTTCAGTCCCCTGCCCTCATGGCAGGAGCCAGTACTGTCTAGACTATTCCAGATAGACGTCTATCGAACCTGCTCTTATAACTATTGAGTTGTCTCCTGACTCAATAGCATTGGGGAGAACTGACAGCACGACAGAGAGGTGACAGTGATTTCCTGTATTCATAGCACACGGGAAATCCCTAGAAAAATTATTTTAATCCAAAAGATATTTCTGCATGTTTTTGGGAGTTGTGTGGGTCACAGGAGATAAGGGTGGTCTCTCTCAACAGCAGAAGTTGATTCAAAAAAAGACCAAGACAGATACAACAGTACCGCAAGGCTTAATTTCTAGACAGGGATGATTCAATGTGTTAATGAAATACACAAGTACATCACATGTCCTTATACAGTGCACTCCCATTTATCCGAGTGGCCTACGGGACACCTGCCAGTTTCAGGTAACTGGGAATTCAGATGAAGGGAGTGCTAGAGAATTTACTGCCAAAGCTGGAGGCAGTATGAAAAGAGGGTAGGACTAAGCAGCATTTCTCCTCTGAATGCTGCAGTGATTCCTTGTGTAACCACCACCAGGCAGATTGGAACCTGGGATCTCATTGTAAAAGCCTCTATAGCTCGAGCTATAAAGCCAACCAGTTGAAGAGCGCCCTTGTCCTTAACTCTCACTGTAAATGGTCTAAGTGCCACTACATGGGATAGCGAACTTCACTAGGGGTGTGTCTAGATTACAGGGTTTTGTTGACAAAAGTGGACTTTTTTCTACAAAACTATAGCTGCCTCTACGCTACCGCTGAGTTCTCTCAACATAACGTCGATAGAACGCGGCAGTTTAGTCGACAGCGGTAAGCTTCATTCAACAAGGAATAATGCCTTTTATCGACAGAGTTCAGTCCACAGAAGCCATTATTGCATCTACACTGTCCTTTGCGTCTACACTCTCATGTCGACAAAGCGGCATGTAGTCTAGATGCTCTTTCTCGACAGAAGCTTTGTCCACAGTATCTGGCGACAAAGTCTCTGTCCACAAAAGCCTGTAGTCTAGACGTACCCTAGGGCTGCATCTAGATTGGAAAAATTTTGTGCAAATACTTTTAACTGAAAAGTTATTCCATTAAAAGCATTTGCCCAAGAGAGCGTCTATACTAGCATGTGCCTTTGTGCAAAAGATTTGTTTTTGCTCAAAAGCATCCATGTCCAGTATAGATACTCTCTTGCACAAGAAAGTTCCAATGGCCATTTTAGCCATCAAGCTTTCTTGTGCAAGAAATTAATGTGACTGTCTACACTTGCCCTCTTGCGCAAGAATATTTGAGCAAGAGAGCTTATCCCTGAGCGGGAGCGTCAAAGTATTTGCGCAAGAACCACTGATTTTGTACATTACAAAGTCAGTATTCTTGCGCAAATACTAGTGGCCAGTGTAGACAGGAGGCAAGATTTTGTGCAAAATCATGCCAGTCTAGACACAGCGTAGTTGTGTGGGTTGCATTTGTACAGACAGAGCACAAAGGAAGGCTTAGAGGATGGTTATGGAGATAAATGAGGGAGGAAAGAAGAGAGGAAGAAATTGAGGGTGAGAGTGGGAAGTAGCTTAAGAAGACATGAGCCACCCTGGTACTACCTGAGTACTTCCAAGCAAGTGAGGGCCTCAAGGCAGGAAATCAGACTTGCACTTCACTATCCGTACTGGTGCTTATGCAGTCCTGGGTTGTCAGTGCTAGCGATAATCTAACAGCTCCAATCGGGCAGCTGTCTTCCGTGGCTCTTACCTCCTTCTTTCCCTCACCTTTTCTCTCCTTCACCTCCTCTCTGCCTCTTTCTTTCCTCTTCCCTCCTGCCTACTCTCTTGACTCCCCCTGCCTTTCACTCCCTGAACTCTTCTCTTTTCACTCTTCATCGTTACCCCTTTCTTTCTTTCTTTCTTTCTTTCTTTCTTCCCTCCCTATTGGCCATTCCAAATTATGTAAAACCCATTAAGCCACCGTGATTTCTGTAAAATATCTTGGGACATATAACGAAGATTTACTGATTTAACTCCAGTTAGCAACATATTTCTGCAAGCCAAAGACTCTCACAGCCATTTTATATGGACACGTTGTACACACGCTCAGTATGAAAGACTAAATCTATGGTGAAACAATATAGGTGTCACAGGATCCCGTATTTATTAGTAGGCACAAAAATTCAAATTCCACTGGCTTCCACCCCTTTCGTATATCAATATTATAGGTCTTTACTTCTATAGTTATCATGAAGGCTGGTGCTTCTTATGCAGGGAGGAGAAAAAAAATCCTGGTTTCATTCATATCACTAATTGTCTCCATTCAGATATTTAAGAAATAAATCGCAGATCTATACACTTCTGACACATCCGATGGAAAATGTTATTTATTTTATCTCTCTTTTCAAAAAGAAGTTTAACCTGCTTTTACGGGCTTGGAAGTGGGATATTTTAAATTTCCCCAAAATGTAAAATATTGATGAAATATTGTACTAAGCAAATAAGCAGAAGCATGGACCAATGCTTTGCAGGATAAGCTGTGTTCTGGAATTCCTCTCTGCAGTTGGACCCTCTTTTAAGAGTAGTAGGAGACATTCAATTGTGTCCAAAGGACTTTTAAACATGCAGTACATGTTTGCTGAGTGTAAATATGTACATTGCA